AACTTTTATACCTTAATCTTGGAAGAAGACACGTTAAAAGTGGTTATATTTATATTTTGTAGGTAGAAACCATTGTTACTTAGTAGACTATATAGAAACAGTTTTTAATGAAACTATTAAATTGTTTAGTAGTCATCATATCCAGGCCATTTTTTCCTTTCTCCAACCATTGTTACAATAATTTATGTAATAAATTTGATAAACCTTACTTTCAATGAGCAGACATGAGAACAGTTTGTGATGTTAAAGGTGGCAGTGTTTTGAGAATACAGTTTCTGGCATACAGTTATGATTTGCAAGCATATGTAGAAGAATGTTCACATATGGCAGTATCAAAATAATATAAAACATTCCCAATGTGTATAAATTATATTTCTCACTAGTGAACAAATAGCAGTTGCTAAATGTAGTTTCACTTCTGGATGGCAGTACACATTGTCCAAAAGTTATGTAATTATAATAAATACGTATATCGACCTGCTATTTGAACCATGAATTTTAGACACCTAAGGGTTAGGTTTCACCTACTAAGTTTCACTTACTTGATAATCTCAGCAGGTAGAAAACTTTTCCCTGAAGATTCTGATAACAGCTCCTCAATTTTAATAATTGGTGTTCTTAACAGATAGCTTAGCAATGTTGGGATATGGACAAGATTGAAATCCTGTGGTATAAATTACAACATGTAGCGTTTAATCTTCTGGGAGTCAAATAACTTATAAATATTTAAAGGATATAGAAAAAATAAAGGATATAAATCCTCAATTTAGAAAAATGTTTATTCCACATAGAAACTTTCTAGTGAAATGCAAATAAATGTTTCTATAGTCTATATACCTGAACAACTAGTAGGTCACTTCAATTCAACCATTCTTGTGTCTGAGAAAGAATAGGAGGGTTTTCTTTTTTTAAAAAGCCTATGTTCCTTGTAATTGGAAAGCGATGAGAGAATGCTTGTTGACTGTATCTCATAATACTTTATCCTCAGTTTTCCCCTTTTTAAAGAAAATAGGCTCCACATGTTTTACACAGCCTATAAATAGAAATAATATGAAGGCAGCTGTGTCCAAGACATTACTTTTCCACAATATTTGACTTCTTTGTTTAACCTCATTGGTGAAAAAGCAGAACATGAAAGGATTTGTGTGTTGGTTTTAGAGATAACAGGATCAGGCTAAATTGAACATAAATAAGAAATTATATATAATAAAGAAAATTATACTAAAGGCAGAAGAGAAAGAAAACACAAGTCACACAAAAGTAAGTAAGCTATCCGTAATTACAGTAAGTACTAAAAACTTGCCAACTTATAGGCAAGTTTTTTGTGGTTTTACAAAGAGATATAAATATTGTGATGTGCCAGAAATATAGCTCAGCAGCATAGGGCCTGTCTGGCAGGTGCAAGGTCCTGAGTTTGATTCTTGGTACCAAAAATGGTACATTAATATATAATGATGTCATAGAATAAAAGGTCATGCTTATCAAAAGATATGAAACAACAGAAAAAATTGATTCAAAGGTAAAAACATCTTGGTAAAAATGTATTGCATCCCATAAATTGTGTCAGTTTTAAAAATAAAAATACTTGATCCCTGGCACCACTGGGCACACTGAGCCAGCCACTGAGTCCTGGCGTGGTGGCACACATCTGTAATCCCAGCACTGGGAGGCTGAAAACAGGAGGATCACTATGAGTTCAAGCTGCATAGTGAGACCCTATACCAAATATATTTTTTTAAAAAATTATAGAGTATGCCTTCCTAATAATAAATGGAACAGCTGACTAGGAATATAACAACTCTTAAACAATAGTGTCAAATATATAAAGCAGTTAGCAATGAGAAGCTAAGGCCCCCTAAAAATACTACTAATTATTAGCAGAAAGTAATAGCTACAAAAAAGACCAACAAAATGTTTAAAGCTGGAGCTTATAGATTTACATAAATTCTGTAATGACCCTTTGTAATATTTACAGAAATAAATATAATAGATAAATCAACTCTCAATACCAAAAACTTATCATACAAACTTTCAGACGAGAGTATTAGAAGTTATATGAAGGTACT